GGATCTGTAATGATATCCAATGGAGTTTCCTTTTGCAGGAGAAGACACTGCCAAATCTTCCTAAAGAGTGAGTCTTAGAGGTAAATTACCCATGTTGTGAGCCTCAGGAACTGCAGTCAAATGACTCTGGGTAACTTTGTTTGGAAATTCATATTGAAAAGACAAAATCCAGAGGGAATATTTTAAATAATTAAAATTTTATATTGGCTAGTTTTTGAAAAATGTTTTCTTCTAGTATCCTGAGTTTACTGTCACTCAGTGTAGCCCCAGTTAAATATTTCTGACTATGTTGAGCAGAATAATCTTTACTGAACTTTAACTCTGTATGGAGTATTTGCTGGTGCTGTCACAGAGCCACCATTTCAGTCAAGGTACAATTTCCCTTCTGTACCTCCAGGAAATCTGCTTTCTGTGTTATTTTCTCTACAGCCTATTTGATAAGTGACATTATTAATAGGTAACTTGTACTCATGTGCACTGCTAGTGGGTTTCAATTCCAGGAAACTTGTATCTACTGTACTGAATGGGGGACCAGTCTGACATACATAAAGATACTTCTGTCTGGCAACTAATGCAGAAGAGTATGGTGTAAATTAATGCATTTGAAAGGCAATGGAATTAATTAAACAGCTCACCTGAAGCTTGCAAACTTGGGGAATGGGTTGTTGTTGTGCTGCCTGACCTGGTCACATTATAAAGTAAAAAAGTAATAGCTGAGTTAAAATTTTATCTTGCATAAACTGAAAAGTAGTGCCCAAGTACCTGCAGTTTCATTATGACCAATGACTTAAATATTGTGTCATTTTGATTTTCATCTCATATGATGTATCTTTTGTGTCTGTGCCTTTGTCTTCGAGGAAAACTTAATTTTGTCTCAGAGAGAGGGGCGGTATTGGTAGTAAAAAAGAAAGTTTTCCACCTGTTGAATGAATGATGGTGTGTGCTTTTCTTTTTACAACTGTATTGGGATGTCTGTAGGCTTGTTGCTTGCCTGAAATACTTTTTTTTTTCTCTAATCCAACATGCCACTCTGTCCTTTTCTTCCTTCTTGGGGTCCTCCCGTTTTCCCTCTGCCCATTGTCATAAACTGCATTCCTCTTGTCCTAGCACACATCTTTGCTGCATATTGGCCTGCAGGGAATAACAAAGCTGCTATTAGATACCATGGATTTGAGTGCCTCTGTCATGCTCCAGTGTTCCCTTTTCCACTCAGATAAATGTGAATCTGCCAAGCTTTGGAAAAAAATGTCATCAAGCTAAATGTTTGGCCTTAGTTTCATCTATAGGCAAATATGTTTATTTTACAAGGAGCAATATTATTACTTACAGATGTGATTTGACAGTGATCTAAGAAGTGAAGACTATCTAAGGTATCACCAGTACCTCACACTTTAGTCTTTACAAAAGCACAGTTACATCAAATTATGGAAACCATGACTTTTGTTCCATAAGAAATATAAATATTTCAATGGCAGAAGTTAAAATTATTTCAGATAGAGGTAGAAGAGGGAAGTAAAGTTTCCTTTAGAATGATGGTTTTAAAATTCTGATTAGTAAAATATTAAAATATTTTCATGATGACAGTTTCTAGTAATTTGCAGTGTTTCCAAAATTGAAGCTGTCCAAACCATTTCAGTGCTATTTTACAAGTTTGGTGAACTGCCAGAGGACCTTGGATGCTTTGGGTCTGCAGGTGGGTGTGCTATGTCAATACCAGGAAAACCTCTGAACTGTATGTGCTTTAAAACAAGTTGGAATAGAAATATTACATTGCCCCACAAAATGGTGTAAAAAAATTCAGTAGGGATCATTAACAATTTATTATTTCTTAACTAAAAAAAAAAGAAACTTGTTTTTATCAAAAGGGGAAGGAAAAAATTTCACCTCTCACAAACTGTTTTAACGAGCTTTCTAGATTTTTGTCTAGCATGGATCTGTATATAGATGGAAAGGTCCAACACCACTGATATGACAAAGGGTTTTGCCATGTGGATTTTTGCTTCTTACATTTTTTGATATATTTGTGGAATTCTGGAGGCAGAGGGAAGCCATAGAAAGGTCATAAAACTTCAAGCCAAGGTAAACAGCCTATCAGAATATGTTTAGGAAATGACAGTATAAACCACAGAAAAACATATAGAAAGGAGAGGAAAACATATACCCTTGGAAAATACATTTCCTGCTTGGAATGATGTTGAAGCTTTGAGCTGCTTATGTTGCTTCCTTGCTCCTTTCCAGTAAATTGTCTTTGTTCAGATTGTTGATTCAATCCATGGTCCCAGGCACCCAGGTCTTGGGGGGAGAAGATCTTCTGCAACAGGTATAACAGAAGGTATTGTGGGCATCATGCCTAAAGGCCAGAGCATCTTTAGTCCCTGGAAAGGGTATTGGACTGCCTTTTTGGCATAAATTATACTTAGTAATATTTAAAAAATATTACAGATACAGCACCAGAGCATTTCTTTAGTCATTTTCAAAGAGGCTTCTGTTTGCTCCTTTGCACTCTGCAAAGAAAATAAGGCTTCTGCGTTGGTAAGTTCAACATGCATTTTAACATTTTTTTCTCCATTGAAGTTGTAAAATGGCATCTCAGTTCTTGGTTATTTATCATAGTTCTCTTGTGTTTCAAGTACAAGCTTCTCTTCTTTGGGAAATAATTTTCCATGGCCATGCTATTGTCCCTGCTGCTCCTTAGCCCTGTGACATCAGCTGCAAAATTACGTAGCGCAATAATGTAAATACTAAAGCATCTGAACAACTTTTGTTTGTTATTTTTACAGAAAGTTCAGACATCAGTCCAGATATGTGATGAGCGGAATTTTAGTCACACAGAAGGCTTTCTGTCAGGCTCTTGTAGCACATTTAGCCTAGATAACTTACTGAAATAAAGCTGTTGGCTAAAAACGTCATTATTCAAGCTGAATTCTGTTTGGTTTTCCAGAATACTTGTTTCCCTCGAGTTTACCTCTCTACTAATGGAATTAATGAGCTTTTATTTGAAAGGTCTAGGATTTAAACTGTGGAATTTGAGTTTCTCTTTTACTTCAGGTGTACCAGAAGACCAAAAGGTGCAATAAAAAGTACTGCAAGTTAGGTAGAGGCACTAAGTCCCCTGACTCCCCTCAACATCTTAAACCTAAGTCAATAAATGTAAATATTAGCTTATCTCACTCTTTAAAAATCAGAAAGGTAGGTAATGATTTCATATCCTAAACTGAAAAATAAAAAAAGTTATCTTTAGAAATTTCATAAGCTGATCTTAAAAAGCAAAAAAAAGCTCAGCACTCCAAATAAATTTGATGAATGTGTTGAGCCCTGAGGCCTTAGTACGATTAATGTACACATTGCCTTTGTAATAAGTTGTGTACCCGATCATAAAGTAAAAACACTGGTGGATCTGTTAAAGGAATTAGTTTGTGTTTGGGGGAAAAAAGATAATGATAAAGTAATTAGTATCATAAGTTCAACAAAGATTTAAAACTATGGTACATGGCAGTAATGGATTTTGAGCACAGTTAATGAGCATATTCATTGCATTCATTTTTAATTAAGTGGAAAAAATAGTGGTCCTTTAAATGGAGATAATAAATGTGCAAGTCAGTCTTGCACAAACATGCAACACAAGAATTTATTGCCTGCTGTCTAACTAGGGAACTGGGAATCATTATAAAGATTAGATTTACTGAAAAAAAAAATCCAGAGAAAGCTTTAGTAGAAAATGTTTATGAGGTAATAATTTTCACATTAAATATAGTTTGGCATATTTGGTAGAGTGTGTGTGTGTGCATGTTTTTTAAAATATGAGCCTTTGCTATCATCAGAGTTAGGACTGTTTGTACCGTTGAAAAGGACTCTGCTATTTACAAATTTAGATTTAGGTGAGATGTATTTAATATATGACTTCGCATTCAAGAGAACATAAAAATATCAGAAACTTCAGAACTTTCTCAGGGGTTTGTTATGCTCATGCTTCGGATACAAATTGCGGCTTAAAAGTAAAAGCTTGGCTCGGGAGGCTGCAGCTGAGAACAGCCGAGGGTTTGCCCTGCACACACTCACCTTCCCAAACCACCGGGCTCCGCTGCCACTGGGGCTCTGGGGGATTCACGCTGGGGCAGGGAAAATGCAGCTGCAAGGCTTAGTGTTTATTCTGTCAGTGGGCAACTGACATGAAGCAGGTTAAAGCACTGAAACCAGATGTCCCTTCTAGAGCAGTGGCTTTCCGTGTTTTTATGACTTGGGAACCCCCTAAATATTTCCAGTGGAAATGAACACATTTGTATGCCATGCTGAAGCTTATTGATGATTGACTGGCATATCTTAGTTAACTTTCATGGATCTGGTTGTTCACCGGTCCCCAGGGGTATCCAGACCACATGTTAAAAGCAATGAAACTAAATCAAATTTCATATGTTTCATTCTCTCAAAGTTCCCTACCCATATGTCTCTTGTCAATATTTCTACAATACCAGGTTCTTTCTGACATGTGGTGAAGTCTAGGTTTTTGCTCAACAAACATTTTGTTGGGATATAATAAGCCTTAACTTAACCTTTAGGAGGTTATTCACCATGGACATTATAGGAGAGGGAATTTTCCATCCCAAAAAGCCCCCAGACTTTCACTGGGTGCATGCAGTGTACTGCTGGTGAAATTGCAGTATGAGGTACTGTGCCACTCAGGCAATTACAGTCTTTTTTTCCTCTGACTTTATTCTGCCCTGTCACACATGTGGTAATTGCTTTCTGTACAAGAAGCAAAGCCATACACTTGGGTCTCTTCAAAATGCTTACTCTGCTTTTATTTTTTTAACCTCACTGCATGATTTTATTATGTATGTAAGTCAGTAGCAACTTGGGAGCTAAGTTTAAAATAGCTGGCTCTAGCTGCATACTTTTAGCGTTTAAAAAATAAAAAATTGCAGAGTCAGTTTATTGGTTAAATTAGGAATTTTATAGAATTTCTGTAAGTAAATAAACATTTTATTGTCTTTTCTGTTCAGGTATGACTTTGTAGAAGTTGAAGAGCCCAGTGATGGCACTGTTTTAGGGCGCTGGTGTGGTTCCAGTAGTGTGCCAAGCAGACAAATCTCCAAAGGAAACCAGATCAGAATAAGATTTGTGTCTGATGAATATTTTCCTTCTGAACCTGGATTCTGCATCCATTATACACTTCTTATGCCAGTAAGTAACATGTTTCAGATCAAAATATTTCAGGATACAAAATCGTTGAAGTGGTGGCTCAAAAGAATCTTTTAATAGGGTAAGATTAATTATTGTTTATTTCTTAATAATAATAACAGTGTGCAATCTGTCTTCCTGAATTGTACATTTTGTTTCTGTTTTTTAACTGAGTGTTCCTGTGGTTCTTTTTGGATGGCTTTAGACTAGGAAGTTGTGGGCTTGGTGGTTTGTGTGGAAAATTCAGTAAAATGTTTGCATTCCTAATACTATACTGTGGAAAAAAAGAAAGAATTTCAGCTTTGAGAAAAAGACAGATAAGTTTATGAATCAGCAGTGTGATGTTGAAAGAGGACTGAGAAGTTACAAAAAGAAACTGAAGAGATTAATGTTTTCATTAGTCAGCTGCTATTAGACATACCCAACCAGATGATTATACCTAGTTCCCAAACAGAAGAGTTCTTTTGATTCTAGATAGTTTTATTATAGAGACAAAGAAAACAATCCATTATGTTCATTTTTCACTGCATTTTCCTTGTAAACTGTACTTTAGGCTTCTCTTGGATGTTGCTTAAAGCTTGTAAATCACAGATATTAAACTAGTCATTGTCTAAAATGTGACTAATTTCACTGTCAACAGTTTTCTGTTACTATTTTCATGAAATGAAAGATCTGTGACAGCAGAAAATGTTTACAAAATTTTAAGGATGAGATAATGTCCTGAAACATTAAAATGGAGGAAAATGGGAGTTGACTTGTTTTAAAATAGGTATTCCATATTTAAAGACGGTAAGGAGTATTTTTTTGTTAAATGCTTCATAATTCACTTTGAATCTCTTAAGTAGTCTTGTGGTCTGTGGTATTTGGTTGGTGGAAAATATCTTGAAGGTCAGTGAAAAATTGATCAAAAGAATCCATGTTGTAACTCCACTGACATGTGCTTCACTCAGAATGCACTTGGCTGGCTTTATTTTTCTGCTATTTTTGTTCCTTCTCTCCATTGGCAAAATTTCAGTTATTGAGAAGAATATATTTAACATGCTGATGATGGTGTCAGTGCACTGGGAGTGGGATGTTTGTATATATATATATATATATATATATATTTATGTGGGTTGTTTTCCTATAAATATTTTTAACTACTTATGCCTAAGGAAGAATTACTTCTAAAGGGACTAAAGGTTTGATCTGCATATTTGACTCTTTTATGAGTTGGAATAACTTTTGCTAGTAGAATACTATGACCTGAAAATGGTAAACTTTAAAATTAAATAAAATGTCAGTCTCCAAACTTGAAATAAGGCCAGGTTTAAACTTCAGTACACCTGAGGGCAGGATGTAATTAGTATATTTACTTTTAGAAAATAGTGAAAGAAAATCACTAAATACATGTATTTGTGGGGCTGGTGCCAAATTCCGTTGTCATAGCTCTAGTATCACACCCTACCTGCGATGTATCTAACTTATGTATGATCCCATTTCTGTGGAACTGCTTAAACAAAGGCACCTGAAAATAGGATTATATGTATAAATATTTTTATGTCATGCTGTACAAATGGACTGAATTTATTCCTTAATATTTGATGAGGAAAACAACTTAGAAAATTTAAATTACCAGCACTCACAAAACAATGGTTTAATGTTCAAAATAGTTACACCTAACACATGCAAGGGACAAGAGCAGCCCACTTGCTGTCATAAGAATTTGGAATGAGCCCCAAAACTGCTTATCAGTTAATTTCTAAATCTCCCTCTAAAAAGAGCTGTGATCTTTTTCAACAAAAAATATGTCCTAATACTCATGCAGAATACAATTACATATTTCAGACAGCAGATTGTAAATTAAATAGATATTGCTTAGTTCCAAGATTAAATCTGCTTCTTGTACCCAAAGCAGTTGAAAACCAATGCCAAAAAAACAGTAGTTTTTTTTTACAGCTATAAAGTTATCTCATCCAGCTTTTCAAGAGAAAATAAAATTTACAGGCCCACTCCCACACCCCCACCAAAAATATGTCAGCTAGGGGAATGAGTTTAAATTTTAAATAATTCTTGCAAAATCGTAACTGACTCACTAAGAGATTCAGTTCAATGAATTGGTCCTAAACAGTTAATTTTTTTTTCCTCTTTTTTTTTTTTGACAAGTAGTGGGGAGGGGGAGATGCCTGGTAGACTAGCAATGAGAGATTGTTTGGGGTGAAATGAAGCAAAACTGAAATAAAACAGTGCAAGCTTGTTTCTGTATTTGAAGGCCACACACAGAGAGGGGCACTGGACACATTTTCAGGTCTTTTAAAGAGCAAGAGAAATGGCTTTGTTTAGATCTGCTGTAATTTATTGTGTGTGTATATGTGTGTATATATATATATACAGTTTTTTTAGTTTGTTTTTTTACTTTGTATATTCTATTTCAAACCAACTTTTCACATGATAAGTAGTAGGAGAATGGCTGTTGATCTGATTACTTTATTTCTAGGATTTAGTCTCTCTAAAGAAAGGATCCACAGCCATTCCAGTGTCAGTGGATGCAACATCATTCTCTAGAAAGGTTTGATGTGGGGTTGGAAGGCACTGCATAAAAGCAGTGCACATACTGTATGCAAGCAGAATGTTCTCTGAGAAAAAATGACACTTTTCTTGAGATCCTAACTAATTAGAGCTTAATAATTTGAATTTCTTCCATTTTAAATTGAATACTGTGACTGCATCTGGAACTTTCTGTAATTCTGGTCTTACTCCCAGTTTCTTTCCTCCATTTAATACTTACAATTTAATTTTGTCTGGAATACCATGAAGTGGAAGCAAGTGTTGAAAAATCTTACTCCTATTAAGCAGACATTGTTTATGTTCTTCCAAAATTATTATGCTCCCTTCAGCGCAGCTGTTATTCTGTCACTCTTTTATGCTCTGCCCAGTCACTTACTCTGAGCTTACTGGTGAGCTGCTTTATTCAGTAAGGGCTGCCTAGTGATGATTCTCAATTTTGACCAGCTATCCATTTATTAAAACTCATGATTTTGGCAGCAGCACTGTGCCACCTAAACCCTCCTAGAACTCTATTGCAAAACAATCCATGTTTCATTCCTTTCCCCCTTCTTTTCATGTGCTCCCTGTAGTAGCCACATGAAATTGAGGGAAATCTTATAAACTCTTACACATTTGGGCCTCAGTCTTCCTAGTGACTTGTTTAGTTTAAACTATGTCAGTTACAAGTTTGGCAGAGAAAACTTGATGTAATAAAGTCCATTGTTAGTTGGGGAGCGGGTGAATGGGATACTTGATGCCTGAGGTGCCATTAAGGAATGCATGACTGATTGCCAAAGTAGTTATTAATTATTCAGGGCACTCAGAACAAAGCAGCTCCAGTTAAAGTTGAAGCTGGGGGTGACTGTATTCCCCTTCTTTTTTGGCATATGGGAGCATGTCATTTGTCATCAAAGATCATGCCAAAGATCTTTGAAAAGAACAGACTTAACCCTCTTTTATGCAAGATGAAACTTCAAGAAGCTGTCTAAAGACTGACCTGGTTTAAGAGTGACTTAGCAGGTGGTTTGGGATTTTGGTGCAGTACCTGTTTGGCTACATGGGTGTCAATCCAAGAGTGTCGTCTGGTTTGAATTGCTTTTACTTTTTCCTCTTTTGATGCAGAGGTTTTGTTAGTATTGCTCTTGCTTTTTAACAGTAATGGAAATTAAATAAATATTAATTTAGAACTATCTAATAATTCTTCCTTTATTTCATCCAAATTGGCTAAGCTTTGCTCTTTAAAGATTGAGCATATTACTTTTTTTGGGTGCAATCTTTTAAATTGAGCTTCTTGATTGAAACAGGCAAATAAAATTAAAATACTAATAGAAAAGGTGCATAAAATAGAACAGAGAGGAAAGCTCATCCCTGCTTTCGCTTCCTCTCACAACTCTCACAAGTCTACGGGTGTTACAGCAATCAGGCGTGTTTCTCACATGTTTGTGCTGAAGCCCAAGAGATGCTTAACTCCGTCTGCAATACCTGGAAATCCATCTGGAAACATCATAAAGGACATTATTGATCTCCTAAACAAGTTTTCTTCTACACTCTCTTTAGAAGTGGTCAAAAGGTTTCAGAAATAAAATTATTTCAGGGTTGTTTAAGCCAAGGTGGTACAAAGAATCAGCAGAGCAGATGAGTGTTATGTAGCACTTTGCAATGCTACATGAAGTGAAGAAGAACTGTGAAAACCCTTCATGTCCTGGGAAGGACTCTTAAAACAAAACCTCTGTGTTCAGGGTTTCCACTGATTAGGTACAGTGAAACCTTAGTCTAGATAATTGAAGAGGCTACTAAAGATGCTTCAGTGCAAATTCCATGTGTTATTCTATGTGGCAAAAATTCACTGTAAATCAAATATGTTTTGGAACTAATTCTTTCCTTAGAGACTCCATTTTGCATTAAATACTTGCTTAACTTCTTAGATGAGATAATTTCTTAGATGAGACATTAAATATTACCCCAAAATACATAGATAGGAGTGAAATGCTTCAGTTAACCAAAAAAATGCAGAAAGTTCAAACTGAGAGTGGGACTAAAATGAGTGGTGGGAGGAAAAAATCGTTGAGGCAAAAGAACCTCTGAAGTATGCTTTCTAATTAATTCATAATGCCTTTTTTTCCTGTGACCGTATATCATGCTGTCCCAGGGACATCATGAAGAGTTTAAAGATCTCTGTGTGTGAAGCAGACTTGCAGAGGGAAAAGGTTAGACAGGAATCTAGTAAGCTTTTGGACCTGCACAGAAGTCCATGGAGGTGTATCCTTAACCTCTCACAAGCTGAGGTGTCAGTGAGGATTTTATGAGACTCCAAAAGGAAGAATGACATTTTGAACCATTTTGGTGCTGTCATTTAGTTCTTAAAAGGAATGAGTATACTTGTCTGATAGCAAGTTTTGTACTTTGAAGGACAATGTTCCTTTCCCTTTGGCCAAAATCTGAATGGAGTTTCTCATGTAGTGTAAGCCATTTCCTTT